GGAGGAATTCAAAGGGAAATCTGGGGAAAGTGAGAACTGAGATCTTGAAGATAACAGACAGTCATCAGGAAGGGAAAGACAGACGGCGTGATCAGCATTTCAAGCTTATGTGGTCCGAGAGGACTACACAGCCGCAGAGGAAGCAGAGGGAGGGAAAGGAAGGAAGAGGGTGTCCTGGAAAACACAAAGCTGAAAGTCTTCCGGATTTAGTAAAACATGATACAGCATCCAAGAATCTCAGTGCCCTCCAAGGGGGATCAGCTCGGAGGTACACACCCAGACACATTAAAACCAAACAGTCAAACCAAGCAGGAGAGGATGCACCACACACAAGGGATTCTTAGCAAGATGGTCAGCAGATGCCTCAGCAGAAACCCTGGAGGCCCGAAGGCAGCAGCTGATACAGTCAAACAGGGGAAGGGGGCGTGATCTCCCCGTATCTGCAGTAGAAGAAATGCTGAAGGGGGCGAGGGGGCTGGAGAGACGGCTCGGTGGTTAAGAGTGCTGGCTGCTGCTGCAGAGGAGCTGGTTAGATCCCAGCACACACATGTCAGCTCACAACCACCAATAACTTCAGTTCTAGAGGATCTGGTGCCCTCCTCCTCCCTCTGAGGGTACCAGGAATGCACATGAGTGCACAGACATATGCAGGCCAACATCTACACACATAAAACACTTGGAAAAAAAAAAAAAAGGATCTGACAAAGTCTGCAGACTGATTCAGAAGGATGGTAGTTCAAAGCCTTGTGGTATCGAAACCCTGGCTTGCCAGTCCGTTACATAAGAGATTAATGCATAAGACTGACTGGAGTTGTGAAATGCTGTCTGATAAACATAAGGAGAGAACTCTGACTACTCACAAGAGTGACAGTCTTTTTAGGATGGGGCTGGTTGATACTCCCCATAGAAAAAGGGGGTAAGGAGAGTCATGAGACCCTCACTTTAGACTCCAGCCTCTGCTCCCAGTTCTCTGTAATTTCATCTCAGGTGTCCTGTGCTCCAAGGAGGTGATGGGAGTCTACGGTGTGCAGAAGGCACTAACGGGTGGGTGTGGAGGAGTCCTCTTGTGGAGTTATGCTATCAAGTTATCATTCATACTGGGATGAGATGGTTTTGGTGATGTGGCCGTTCTGGGGTCACCCATGCTCTGTATGTAAGCTAATCAACTCACTGGTTTCCAAGTCAGCTTTTCCTTCAACAATACTATGGTGAATAGATGGTCTTTATGCCTCTCTAAGGAACTTTACTGACAGTGTTAAAAACCTAGCACACATTGCACTAATTATGTCACACGTACACACTGTGTTGTTCAAACACAGACACTGTGAAGGTGAAGAGCACCTGTCCCCTGGCACACAACAGTCGCTGTATGAGCGATTACGTGCTTACTTGGAGGCGCCTTTCTTGAGGGGCAGTGTGGCTGTGGATCCAGGATGGCACCTTGGCCAGCTCCTCCTTCTGTGCAGAGGAGAACTGGGGCTGCTGCTGCTCCATGCTGCTGAGCTTTTCCAGGTCTTCTCTCAGCACCTCTTCTCTTCCCCTAAACACAGCAAAGGCCTGAGAACAGTCTCCTCTCCCAGTGCCAGGCACTTTTCTGTTGACTTGTGACATAACCGAATCAGCGGCCACACTGACACAGTAGACCTCTGCTTCTCGATGGGAGACAAAGAGTGACGTTTAAATGAAGCATTTCCTTCAGCCCTCCTCTGCCAGGGGCAAGGGAGTTCCTGGACCACATGCCCCTGGAAGCACAGCTTATGTGCTCTTGTCTCTGTGGTTTTGGTGAACAGCGTGTTTGTTCTGCAGGGATCTGCGCATGTGCAGCTGCAGGCTTTCCTTCAAGAACCATCTGTTGCTTGAATTTAAATGAATACATTTGTAAACATACTTTTCCTATGACTGTGTATAAAACACTAAAAATCACTTTACTGAAAAATCACATTAGAAACAAACAAACAAACAAACAAACGCCAGTGGGATGGCTCAGAAGGAAGGGGCACTCTGGCCCTGTCTGACGACTGGTGCTGTCCTCTGATGCACACACCACAGCACACACCACTTGGTGAGGAGAGCGCTTCCCCTCACCAAGTCTAGTGTCTGATCCCCGGGACATACATGGTAGACAGAGGTCAGGCTTCCACATGTGTGCCACGGCACACTCACACATGTACCCAACAAAATAAACAGACTGTAACAGAAATGGTTTTGAACTACAGAAACCAATCATCCAAGCATACAGGAGCATTTTCAGAAGTGCTTTCGTACCTCTCGGGCACCTGGTATGTCATGAGAACACTCTCTGGCGTCTGTTCTATCATTCTCCAGATGGATTCTTCAGCCACCCCGGGAAAGGCTTCATTTCTCTGTCTGTCCTGGGACCTCTGTGCATTTTCAGAAATTTCAGAATAGTCGCTGCTACTCAAGTACATACTGCCGTTACTGCTTCCTATCAAAGATCAGCAAAACACCTGTCAGAAGTTTACATGCCAAAGAGTTCAAACTCTGGCACCCATCTGCCCATCCCAGCAGTGACAGTTTCTAAAGACATTAACCAGACCCTTACCAAATGGCTTATAGCATTACTGACCATAGGCCCAGACCAGAATCAGCCCAATAACCATCCACACAGTGTAATCCTCTTGAGTAACAGAAAGGAACAGACAACCAATACATATAATAAGGATGAATCTCAACAGCATTATTCTTTTAACACCAAAAGCCCTCACACTTTTGCTTGGGATGTGAAGCTACAGGAGCTGGAGGGGCAGGAAGCACGCCATCGGCATGCCAGGACCGAGGAGGAGCACAGGGGTCAGCTGTCAGTCTGAATACGACACACCCACACAGGCACACGTCTGAGCACTCGGTCTCAGGCTTGTGGCACTGTTCTGGGAGGTGGTGCAACCTTTGGGGCAGGGTACATGAGGTGAGTCACTGGGTGTGTGTGCAGGATTCTGAAGGTTGTAACTCAGCCCCACTCCAGGTCTGAGCTCTGTGTCTCCTGTCTGCTGTGCCAAAGTCTCGCCTCCATTCCTTCCCCGCCACGATGCACTGGACCCTCTGGACCAAGAGCCTAGACACATCCTCCCTCCTCTAAGTTGCTTCGTCAGACATTCTGTCACAGCAACGAGGAAAGTAACACAGACATGAGTGGCTACAGAAGAACTTTCTAGAGCAACAGGAACATTCTGAGTGGTGACTGTAACAGTTATACCAGGAATATTATACACACACACACACACACACACACACACACACACACACACACACACACAAATGTTCAAGTGGTGATTGTAACAGTTATACCAATGCCAATTTTGTCAAATACAAGCATGCCCCTAAGAAAGCCTATAAAAAGGGGGAACCCCGCCCCAAACTCTCCTCATTCATTGGTGTCCAAGCTAGAAGGCCTTGGACACAGTGATCTGGTAATAATGGGAAAGCTGTTCTTCCTGGTCACTACCTGAGGCAGCAGCAGACAGAGACTCCTGATGTACTGATGCTGTGGCCAGTTCCCCGGTGGCACAGTGACTGCTCCTGCTGCCACCGTCACCTGTGTCACAGTGCTGGAAGGGAGGACACAAAGGCACTTTAACATCCCGAGAACTGGTTAGCAGCAGATCTCCAACTTTACATACTGAATAGAACGAGACTCTTAAGCCTGACCGAGAATGTGGTTAAAATTTCTTTGGTACTCCTGCATTCCCAACACTGGCTGCATGCCAGGTACCATACAAGTGTGGGCTTTCGTTAGTTTCTGTCATCTGGCAAGCATGCTTGGACATTTTATATGTTCTAAGCACAGTGTGTCAAACGCCAGGAGCAAACGAAGTCCCAGTCTTCTGAAAAGAAAGATGCACAGGGGAAGCAGCACATAAATACTGCATCATCCAGTCTTGGCATAAGCTACGAGGCTGCCATCTTCCCAGCTTTCTCATCAACAAACGCAAGCTGAGTCAAATGCTCCACTGAAGCCAGCCCATCTAACTGGTGACAGAGCTCTGATGTGAACGTCTTTACATTAGGTCGGCAAGCTGGCTCAGTGGGTAAAGGTACCCTACGGCCAAGCTCGATGACCTGAGTGTGATCCTAAGACCCACCTGGTGTAAGGAGAGAACCAATTCCCCAGAGTTGTCCTTTGACCTCCACATGCACACCGAGGCAATCAGTACCCACCCCAACCCTCACCAAAATCAATAAATGTACTTAAGTTAAAAATATGTATTATGTGTTGTGTACAGGTGTACAAGTGTCTCAGAGGCCAGACAAGGACTTGGGACCCTTGGGAGCTGGAGTTCCAGGAGCCTGCTAGACAGCTAATGTGTGTCGGCTCTGCAGGGCCCTCATGATGCACAGCAGGCACTCTTAGCCCCTGACCCATCACCCAGCTGCTGGGCTGCTGTCTTATTTCCCAGCCCCCAAGCTTTAGTCACTCAGGCTATCAAGTGAGTGAAGGGACTGGGGAGACAGCTCAGAGAGCCCCTGATGTTCTTACAGAGGACCCGGGTTCAGTTCCTAGCACCCACACGGCTGCTCACAACTGCCTGTTAACTCCAGCTCCAGGGGATCGATCCAGCTGCCTCTTCTGGCTTCTGAGGGCATTGCAAGCACCTGGTGCATACAACATGCATGCTGACAAAATACTCAACTACATAAAATAAAACACTGATTCTACACCTCAATTCAGGAAGGACAGATTCTGAAGATTAGTCTGGTAAATAAATCTGGAAATGCCTTTTTAAGTCGAGTTTGTCAAGTTAAAGGAAATTTACCTAAAAAATTTTCAGTTTTTACAATGATATGTGTAAAACATGGCAGGATAAGCTGCCCACTTTCTGATGATGCCAAACAGTGACTCCAATTCATCTGTGTAAACACAGAAAAGCAGGAATTCTACATCTCTAAAGAGGAGGCATCATATTTTAAGAGCCAGAGGGACAGGATGTCTACTATGAGACCATAACTCCTAAAAATGTCAGGGAAGCTATGCCCATAAAGTCTCAACAATATGGCTGCCTACACATGACCTGAACAAGGACAACACCAATGGACATGCCAACATGGAAAGAGGAAGAAACCACAGGGCTCCAACCCTAGACAAAGAACATAAGGAACTAGCTATGCCAAGAATGGGAGAAAACAGTCTTCCCCAGGATTACCCAATACCAACTAGTAAACCCTGAAATCATATATATAAAAGTAACACTACATAGACTGAGCATACTGATTTACATATTTAGAATACATATATTTTGTATGTCTATATTTAGGAGTACACACACACATACACACACCCCTATTAACAATAGAAAAACAAAATGGCCGTAACTTTGAGGAGAGTAAGGGGGATCCATGGGAGGACCTGAAGAAGGACAAGGACAGGGGAGAATGATATATTTTAACTAAAAAATTTAAAAGTATGAATTCTAAATTCATATCCTGCCATATGGCTTACTTCCCTTACTAGACCACAACTCCAGCTATAATTTATAAGGAATGAACACATTAAGTTTAATTCCTGGATACCAAATTTTGAAAGGTAGAGGAAACCCAGAATTTGTGAAACCCGTCCCCAAGCATCAAGAACAGGAGACTCCGTTTCTGTTCCACAAGTGGCCAGGGACACACTCTCACTTGCACAGAGCACGGCTCAGTCTTAATCACAGCTGTGAGGCAGGCCACCTACTAGTGACCAGGCTGTCAGTGCTGAGCCTTTTTTCTTTTTCTTTTTCCAAGACAAGGTTTCTCTATGTAACAGTCCTGGCTGTCCTGGAACTCACTTGGTAGCCCAGGCTGTCTTGAACTCACAGGGATCCTGTGCCTGCCTCTGCTCCCCGAGGGCTGGGATTAAAGGAGTGCGCCACCACCACCTGGCAGTGCTGAGCCTCTGACTTGGTGAGAGGACCCAGATTTCTCACTCACTCAGGTACTAGCAGCACCACTTACACACTCAGCCTCTGGGCCAACACCTCTTCTCATTGGATCTGGAGATTCAGACGGTGTAGGCATTTCTTCCTGGAGTAAATTTAACTGTAATGGTGAACTGCTCCTTGAACTAATGAATGGATGCTCTTCACCATGTGTCTCCCAGGTCTCCTCTGTTCTCCTTTGGCTATGGTCTGAAGAAGCTGGTTCCAGGTTTGGTGCCATTGCTGGCACTAAGGGTGTCATTTCAGAAGAACCTGCGGCCCCCAGGAGTGGGTTTGGGGAGAACGACGCTGACCACAGAGGAAAGATGGGGGAGTTGTGCAGGAAAATGGTCATGACCGTATCCAAGCAGGCAGAAGGGAGAGCTGAAACAGACTGCTGGCCAGAGGACAGAGGTGGACATTCAGCTGCAGCTCCCCAGCCTGCAGAGGCCCCTACTCCCAGAGAGGCCACGTCTTGGAGGGGAAGAGATGAGAGGAGATAAGGGGCCTGGCTGGGAGCTACCAGGGCTGACGGGAAAGCTAGGCTTGCAGCATGAGGAGAGGGGACAGTAGAAGGGACCCAGGGCTGTATATCCGGAAGGAGTCCTCTGACATGGGAACAGAAGTCAGCGTTGGGGCTGCTCGGGTCCAAAGGCACTGGCAACTTCCTCCGTTTGTGCTTCTGTCCCTCACTTCCAGCACATCCGGCCTGCTTAGAAGGACAGCCTGATGAAGTGATAAAGACAGAGGCATATTACAGAAAAGTAACAACCAAGAGAAAGTCACTGCCGGTGATTTTAAATACTTTCTAATGAGTTAAATATTAGTCAATAGTACCTGCTCTGAAAAAAGCAAAAAGTTGTTGTAATTCAACAAAAATTCTAGGTAAATATCTGTGCACTGAAATAAGTCAATTCTAACACCTTATAGGCTTCTTGTAAAAACTGTCCTCAGGCCCAGACTCTAGTAAGGTCCAGGTAAACTGTGGGATAAGTGACTGCCACATCTCAGTCTTCTGGGACCAACCCCCATTCTTCACCCTTCTCCCTGGTAGAGCTGGCCCTGCACAGCCATAGGTGCCTAACCTGCAGCTCTGGCCAACCAAGGACTGAAAATATTCAGAAAGAAACGACCACGTACAGACTTCCCCATTACCCTTCCAATTATAACAATATGCACTGTATTAAGCGTTAAATAAAAGGTCAGTTAAAGGACATGGAAGGCATGAGTAGGTCATGCACAAATATTATGCCCTTTGATATGAAGGCCTTGAATGTCTGTGGATTTGGGTGCCAGTGTGTCAGGTAGTCCTTCCTGGAAGCAATCTTCCACTGACACAGAAGGACAGTTCTATATGACTTATAATAATCCAAAGATGAAAGGGATACATTCTGAAATGCAACCACCTTGAACCCAGGAGGATGCACCATTGTTTCTGCCTTCGGGCTGAAGATAGCAGCTATAGGGTGAGGTCAGGATCTTTTCCCGGAAGCTGTCAACGTAGTTCTGTTCTTCCTTCTGCGTGTGTGCAGAGAGGACAGCCGCTGTGAGCCCCACATGCTTGAATTCTTCTGCACTCAGGGGAGACGGCGGTGTTCTCAGGGTCCAGGGCTCACATGCTAGGGCAACACCCTCTGCTGAGATCACAGAAAGCAGATTTAATAATTAATGGCAATTATTTATTTTTTAGTTTGTAACTGCCTTTCAATAAATTTCTACAAACATAATTGTCAGAATATAAAACCATCAGTAGAGTACAAAATTCTTCTCACCTTTCTTTATACTTTTCGTGTATATGCACTTTATGATTATAGTACTATATAGACATTTATTTAGATCTTGCTATTATAAACATTTTCCATGTCCTTACATTTTTAGATTTTTGGTCAAAATTATTAATTTAGAAATAGAGTTTGGAACTTACTATGTAACCTACCTGTCCTGAATTCATGATCCTCCTGTGCCAGTCTCCTGAGCATTGGGATCCCAAGTGCCATCACTTTTAGCCTTTGAATTTTTTTCTACTTGTTTCTTGGAGACAAAGTCTCTCTATGTAGGCTGCCCTGGAACTTTCTATACAGACCAGGTTGTCCTTGAACTCACAGGGAACCACCTGCCTCTGTTTCTCAAGTGCCGGTATTAAAGGCGTGCACCACTATCCCTGGCTTAACTGGTTACTTAAATGGGAACATATTCACAATTCAAACATCAAGTTTTAAAAATCAACTTAGTAAATCTTCCCTGCCCTTCCCACCGTCTACCCAGTTCTTTTTCCATTCTCCCACAGAAAACCATTCGTCTTCTCCACCCTTCTCCTTTCTTTACGCACAGATAGACAAGCATGAATACAGAGGCCATCTGCCCACTGACTTCTCCACAAACACTAGTCTACAATTCACCCAACTCCCACTCCACAGGGAGTTCAACAGTACACAGCCATCTCATACACTTTACATGCAGGAGAGCATCCAGCCACTTCATTCACATGCACACCTGCATGCATGATTCTGAGCTGTTTATAAGAAGTTACTACTTTCAAGAAGAGATTACGGTGGGTACTGTGGTGGGTCTCCCAAGACCCTTCCTACCTTCTCAGGGCTACACAGTACTGTGGTAGCCGGGCTAGGTCTAGGCCCATGCTACTTCCGGAAACGGGCCCTGACTTGTTTTGAATCAACTTATCTGCTATGGCCAGCAGAGTAGCAGGGATCAGACTGACTTTCTTGCCTTAAACAATGAACACAATGAAATAAAAGGTTTCAGGGCCCTGAGCCTCAGATGGAGTCTAATTAACTCCCTCAGGGAGTGGGGCTAGAGCTTCAGGAGAGGCGCAGAGAAGTCTGCATAGAGAGGATGGTGAGACAGACAGACAGACAGTCCCCAGGGCACTCAGGAGAGGGTTGGCCTTGCGTTCTAGGGAATGACAGCTCAAGCTTAAAGAACATGCTTCTTTCATCAGCCAGATCAGGAAACCTCATCCTGGGCCAGCAGGATGGCTCAGTAGACAGAGGTGTCACCAAGCCTGGTGACTTGAATTTGATGCCAGGAATCCACGCAAAAGGAAAGAACTGACCCCAAGCAGTTGTCCTCTGACCTGCACACACACAAATTGTGCAGGAGCATACACACATGCACATATACACATTTTAAAAAGAAAAAGAAAATCTTGGCTTTCTGTGGTGTGGACGATCGGTAGCAGGGGTGGTCGGGCCTGCAATGTGCAGAGCCAGACCTGGCTTGACAAGACTTTTAATGTGAGATCTGAAAGAACCAGTTTCCTGTTTCCAGGAAAATCAACTGGGTCTCAAAATAAAGCTCGAAATGTTCTCAGGAATAGAAAACACTGTGACTTGTTTAACATAACTGGCATCCAATAAAAAATCACCAATCACACAGGTGTGGTGGCACTTACCTTTAGTCTCAGCACTCAAGATGCGGAGGCAGGAGAAGCTCTGTGAGTTCAAGGCCAGCCTGGTCTACAGAGTGAGTTCCAGGACAGCCAGAGCTATACAGAGAAACTGACTCACAAAGTTCATCCCAACCCCAAAAAGATTACTTCTCAATTATCAGCATTTAGAGTTAATTGTCTGTTTTACTGATGCCTATAAATTTTAGTATGTTGTACTCTCAGTATTTATTTCAAAGTCCATTTTTGACTTTTTCTTTGATCCATGGACTATTTAGAAATGTGTTATTCATTTTCTAAATTCTTGGGCTTGAAATAGTATTGATTTTTAACATAATTCACCCTGGCCAGAAAGCACATTTTTATGTATCATCCATCCTACCTGAGACTTACATGTCAGCAGAACCTATTTTATATGTCAGCATACTTCTCAAGTGTACCTCAGCAAGCTAACAGTGTCTGCTAAAGCTTACTCAGGGCTACCAGCTCGGCCACTGCTTATGCACATTAAAATAAAGGATTTATTATTTTTAATCACGTACACCTATATAGATCTTGTGTCTCATACTCCATCTTAACTAGTCCCTGGCACTATAATGGCAATGGCGGGTGGAGAACAATTTGATGGCACAGGCAAGTGACTCGGGAAGTTACTTCTTGAGGTTATGCCTTAGTTGTCACACGTAAGTACTACAGGTCACAAGGAATGCCCTGTGATCGAATTTGTCAGACAGGAGGTCACTCCAGGGCAAGGTTGTAAACCTAGGCACTAAGCTTTCCAGAAAGCAAAGAGGCACGAAGATTGAAATGCAGTCAAGTTGGCGAGATCAGCTGTTACTAACATGATTCCTCCCAATAGTCCTGTGAGAGCAGAGTATGTTTCCATTAGCCAGGGACAGTTCTATCAGAACTGAGCTAGGCCTTTGGGACAAGAGCAGCTTCACACAGTCTATCTGGGCATTTTTGGGTGCGGGGTGGGGATCTTGTTGGGGAGGTGTCTGTTGTTTTTTTGGGTATAGTCCATCACAGTGGGGAAACAAGGCAGCGTTACTGTGAGGGGCTGGGGTATACCCTTCAATCACAAGCCCAAAGTCCCCCATTTCCTTCAGGTTGTGGAGTCAGGAAGTCTGTCACTGCAGTGAGAAAAGTCAACAGCACAGCTTCCAAAAATGAAGAACAGAGACCTCCTCGGCAACTACTCAGCACACACGAGCCAATATGCCACAGAAGGTTAGCAAAGCTGAGCTAGAGACAACCCCAACCCACTTAGAGATGTGTCGCCATTACACCATCAAGTCAGTATGAAACACCAGAAAGTCAAAGGACAGGAGGCAATGGGAAGAGCAGAATAATTTATTGAGTAGTATGCTGTAAAGGGCATGCTCTGCTTAAAGGGTTCGAGCAGGCCCAAGCATGGCAAACTTGATCTTTGACCCTTCTCCCCCTTGCTAAAAATATTAGATCACATTTCTAAAGCCAGCCCCTAAGATCTATTCCCTTATTTGGCCATGTCCTCCCCCTGAGGCTGGCTACCAAAGTCCAGCTATCAAAGTACCGAAGTCCAGCAATCAAAAGCCCCCTTGTGACTACCCTGATTAACATATCCAATCAAAATCAACCACCTCATCCTAACACGGGGTTTCCCTTTTTCCCTTTATAAACTCATTTACCTACGGGTCATGTCTGTCTCCTCTCTGTCCAGAGGCAGTCCTTTGTCCCTCCAGGAAAACACCCCTGTCCCATCTACCTTGCTCCCTTCCCCTTCTTCCTCATCCTCTACCCCCGTCTTTGTCTTATTCCCTGCCCTTTGTTCCTCTGGGGCACATAAATCTTTGTGCTGAGAATCTGACGTCTGAGTGCATCCTGTGCCAACTCTGAGGGAGCCGACTCCTCCCTTTCACCACTGACTTAGCAAGTTAACACAAAGTGAGAACATAAGTGTGACTCACCTAGTTGCCAGTATACATTCAACATGTGAAAGACACTTTTTTAGAACATCAGTGAAAGGGGCTAGAGAGTTAGCTCAGAGGTTAAGAGCACTAGCTATTCTTGTAGAGGACCCAGGTTTGGTTCCCAGCACCCACATGGTGGCTTACAACCACCTCTAACTCCAGTCTCAGGGGATATGGCACCCTCTTCTAGCCTCTATGGGCACCAGGCACACACATATGTGTGTGTGTATGTGTGTGTGTGTGTGTGTGTGTGTGTGTGTGTGTGTGTGTGTATATGAAGGCAAAATATCCATACACATAAAATACATTTCTTGGGAAAAAAAAATCAGCCACACTATGACCCAATGTGGTCCACAGAGAACTGCATTAATAATGGTGAACACACAGAACCTCAGCACCACTGTCCCCAGCAGTTCTAAGGGATCCACATACACCAACGGATCCTATTAACACACAGTGTACTTAGGAAACATAACCATAACCATAATACATAACCATACAAACATGGTGACATTTCTTAATTAGGTTTACTGAATAAAAGATGGGGAAAATTGGGTAAGACACAGAAATTATAACTAAGCAGGTGGTATTAATGGTTTCCTTTCTCATCAAAAGGCAAAAGTGGTACCTGAGTGCAGGGGCGGGACATGGCCAGCGGTGCTGCTGCAGCTGTGCTGGCTGATGCCAGACCCCACGCTCAGTGCAGCAGTGGACAGGGTCCACGAGACACCTCCCTCAGCGTCTGTGGACAGTCCAGTTGTTGGAGTTTCCTGTTTAGGTACGTTCAGCATCTGTTCAGTATCTGGTAATATATGAGAAACTAATGGTGAAAAATCCTAAATGGAAGCTTGCAGAAGTCACTAACTAACAAATTAAAGCCATTAACCACACAGAGATAAGGTGACACCAGGATTCTGTGATCCACCATATAAACAAACTGAAAGGAAAAAAAAAACTACATGATTATCTCATTAGATGCTTAAAAAGCCTTTCATAAAATCCAACATGATAAAAGTATTGGAGAGATAAGGGATACAAGGGACATACCTAAACATAATAAAAGCAGTATACAGCAAGCCAATTGCCAACATCAAATTAAATGGAGAGAAACTCAAAGCAATCCCACTTAAATCAAGAATAAGACAAGGCTGTCCACACTCTTCATACCTACTGAATACAGTACTTGAAGTCTTTGCTATAGCAATAAGACAACTGAAGGAGATTAACGGAACCAAAATTGGAAAGGAAGAGGTCAAAGTATCATTATTTGCAGATGACATGATAGCATACATAAGTGACCCCAAAAATTCTACCAGGGAACTTCTACAGTTAATGAACAACTTTAGTCAAGTGGCTGGATACAAGATTAACTCCCCTAAAATCAGTAAACAATAAATGGGCTGAGGAAGAAATCAGGAACAACATCCTTCACAATAGTCACAAATAATGTAAAATATCTTAGGGCAAATCTAATCAAACAAGTGAAAGACCCGTATGATAAAAACTTCCAGTCTTTGAAGAAGATATCTGAAGACAGAACGACCTCCCATTCTCATGGATCTGCAGGATTAACATAGTAAAAATGGCCACCCTACCAAAAGCGATCTACAGATCTACAGAGTCAATGCATTCCCCATTAAAATCCTAACATAATTCTTCATAGACCTTGAAAGAACAATACTCAACTTCATATGGAAAAACAAAAAACCCAGTATAGCTAAAACAATCCTGTACAATAAAGGAACTTCTGGAGGAATTACCATCTTTGACTTCAAGCTCTACTACAGAGCTATAGTAATAAAAATAGCATGGTATTGACATTAAAAACAGACAAGTGGATCAATGGAATTGAACTGAAGACCCAGATGTAAATCTACATACCTATGGACACTTGATTTTCAACAAAGAAGCCAAAATTATACAACAGAAAAAAAGAAAGCACCTTCAACAAATGATGCTGGTGTAACTGGATATCGGCATGTAGAAGAATGCAAATAGAACCATATCTATCACCCTGAACAAAGCTCAAGTCCAAGTGGATAAAAGACCTCAACATAAATCCAGGTACACTGAACATGATAGAAAACAAAGTGGAGAATAACCTCCAATGCATCGACACAGGAGACATCTGAACAGGATACCAATAGCACAGGCATTAAGACCAACAATTAATAAATTAGGACCTCGTGAAACTGAAAAGCTTCTGTAAGGCAAAGAACACCATCAATAGGATAAAGTAGTAGCCCACAGAGTAGGAAAAGATCTTTACCAACCCCACATCTGACAAAGGACTGATTTAAAAAAAAAAAAAACCCTCAAGAAACTAGATATTTAAAAACTAAAATAATCCAATTAAAAAATGGGGTGCAGATCTAAACATAAAATTCTGGACAGAAGAATATCAAATGACTGAGAATCACTTAAAGAAGTGTTCAACATCCATAGCCATCAGGGAAATGCAAATCCAAATGACTCTGAGATTCCATCTTACAGCTGTCAGAATGGCTAAGATCAAAAATACAAGTGACAGCTCATGCTGGAGAGGATGTGGAGCAAGGGGAACACTCCTCCACTGCTGATGGGAGTGCACACTGTGCAGACACTTTGGAAATCAGTATTCTCAGAAAACTGGGAATCAATCTACCACAGGATCCAGCTGGGGGCTGAAGAGATGGCTCACGGGGCTGAAGGGACACCTCAGCAGTTAAGAGTACTGGCTGCTCTTCCAGAGATTCTAAGTTCAATTCCCAGCACCCACAGCAGCTCACAACTGTTTATAATGGAATCTGATGTCATCTTCTGGTGTGCAGACATACATGTAAACATAACTCATGTACATAAAATATACAAGTAAATACATCTTCAAAAAAGAAAAAGAAAAGACCCAGCTATACCACTCTTGGACATGAACCCAAAGGATGCCCAATCATACCACAAGGACACATGCTCAACTATGTCCACAGCAACGTTATTCATAATAGCCCAAACCTGAAAACAATCTAGATGTCTCTCAACCAAGGAATGGATAAAGAAAATGTGTTACATTTACAGAATGGAGTATTACTCAGCTGTTAAAAACAATGACATCATGAAATGTACAGGCAAATGGGAAAAAAATCATCCTGAGTGAGGTAACCCAGACCCAGAAAGACAAACATGGTATGTACTTACTCATAAGTGGATATTAGCTGTAAAATAAAGGATAACCATGCTACAGTCCACAGGCCCAGAGAGACTAGGTAACATGAAGGGTTCAAGGGTGGGGGGAATGCCCAGATTTCCCTGGGAAGAGGAAATAGAAAAGGCTTCAAGAGTGGACTTTGGGTGGGTGGGGATGGGAACATGAGTGATCAGGTTTTGGGGGTATGAAGGAGAGAGTACTTAAAGAGACTACTGGAAAGGGAGGGCATTTTGGGGTCAGATAAAAACCTGGTGTAAGGGAATCTCCCAGGAATCTACAAGGATGACCCCAGCTAAGACTCCTACCCATAGGGGGTACCTAGCCTGAACTGGCCATCTCCTGGGACCAAGCAAGATTTCAAGTGGAGCGAGTGGGACAGTAACCCAGCCACATATTTTGTGGAATATTCCTTTACACTGTGTGAAGATGTGTCATTATGACTGGCTTAATAAAAAGCTAAATAGCCAATAGCTAGGCAGGAGGTACGGGCAGGACTTCTGGACAGAGAGGTCTTAGAAGAAGAAAGGCGGGGGAAAAAAAAAAGAGGAAAGGCGGGTTGTTAGCCAAGATGTGGAGGAAGCAGGATGGGCAAAATGGAGATGAGGTGACAAGCGCATGGAAGAACGTAGATTAAAAAGTATGGGTTAATTTAAGTTATAAGAGATAGTTAGAAACAATCCTAGGCTATAGGCTGAGAGTTTATAATTAATAATAAATCGGTGTCATCCTTCCCCACCCCTGAGACAGGGTTTCTCTGTGTAACAGCCCTGGCTGTCCTGGAACTCTATCTGTAGACCAGGCTGACCTCGAGCTCACAGAGATCTGCCTGTCTCTGCCTCTCAATGGCTGGAATTAAAGGCATGCAACATTGCCCAGCCTCTGTGTCATTTTTTGTGAGCTGTTAGCCCAATGAAAAATCTGACTACACACATAACCTTCAACCTACAGTCTGTCCTGCCTATGGGATGTGCTGGGATAAGGGTGGCCTGGAGACTGAGGGAATGGCTAACCAATGACTGGTTTAGCCTAAAATCCATGCCAGGAGAGTAAGCCTACCCCTGACACTACCTGGAGCACCAGGATCCACAGGCTGGATGATCTAGAGACCTAGGATAGAACCAAACACGAGCTGGAGAAAAAAAAAATTGCCCACATAATGATGCCTAATGATATTCTGTTATACTCGTAGATAGATGCCTAGCCCAATTGTCATCAGGGAGGCTTCATCCAGAGACTGATGAATACAGATGGTAAGACCCACAGCCAAACATTAGGCGAAGCTTGGGAAATCCTACAGAAGAGAGGAAGAACTGTAGGAGCCAAAAGGATCAAGGACATCACAAGAAAATCCATGGAATCAACTAACCTAGGCTCATGGGGCTCAGAGACGGAACTGACAGCCAGGGAGCCTGCATGGGACTGAGCTAGGCCTCTGCTATAGGTGACAGTCCTCCTGTGGGACTCTTAACAGCGGGAGCAGGGGCTGTCTCTGACTCTTTTTGCAGGACTTTGGGACCCTATATATCTTTCTACAGGGTTGCCTTGCTCAGTCTTAACACATGGGGAGGTGCTTAGTCTTACTGCAACTTGATATGCCATGCTTGGTTGATATCCATGGGAGGCCTGGCCCTTTCCTGAAAAGAAATGGAGGAGTGGACTGGGGTGTAGGAAGAGAACAAGTATGGTAGGGAGGGACGGGGAGGAGAAGAGGGAGGGAAACTTCAGTTGAGATATAAAATAAAGACAGAGACAAAAAACAATGAAGTCATCTGCTCTGAGGACACTTAGCTACCTTGCAGCACCATGCTACAGTCCACCTCATGGCTTGGCTTGGCTTCTTCTGAGGATGAGGACGTGTTTGTGCAGGATATGCACTTTCTTTTCAAGGCTGGGAGACTGTAGCTCGTCAGGTACCTACAACAGAAGTGAGCTGTCTTTGTATCAGCTCCACCAAACTATTCCCACTTCTGTGCTTTACTTACCCCACTGAGGCATGGGAGACTTTGCCCTTCCTTCTTGGATGAAACCAACCCTGGGTTGAATCCCAGCCTGGGTTAGTGACTTATACTAGTATCTTTCACTATGTTCTTTAATTGGTCTTCACATCTTATACCATTTGATTCTGACCAGCTTATGCATTCACTATACCACAGCTATCACGGAGAGATGCAGCTTCTTACTTTTTGTGCCCTCCACAAATTTCAATCAATTGTGAACTGTATGTAACAGGCACCCCATGCTAACAGAGGACTCAGCACCACTGTCCCCAGCAGCTCTAAGAGCTCCACATGCATCAACTGATCCTATCACTTAACACAAACACCTCTGAAGATGCTGTATGCTCCAGTGATGAGCTAGGCTTCGGCTGAACTGCCATCACTGGCAGGCACTTCTTACCTGATGACACTGTCGATGCAGTTCATCTGCTGATAGGATGCACTATGCTGCTCTAGCCTCAGATCCTCGTAAGAGCCAGTGCACAGGCTTTTGTTTTTCAGTGTCGGAGAGGAAGAAAAGTCCTTCTGCTCATCTGAAAGAAAATAAAAACATAGACAATTAAAATATTAGCATGTATTAAGAAAATAGTAAGCTCACCACACCCATTTACAAAATATTATACAGCCATTAAACATGAGCTCAGATATAAATGCACTGACACAAAAATATCAGTAAAATGAATAAAATAAGGCACAAAAGCAAGTTATACAGAATGATTACACTAGTTTTTTTTTTTTTTTAAATCTCAGGCAAGGATTACCAAAGCAACTATCAGATGACAGGCTGATGGGGATGCCGAATGTGAAGCTAATGCTACTTATTACAACCAGCTAAGATACTTAATGCTGTGTGTCACCCCACCTTGTAACCACTTGTCTGCTGAACACCTGTAGAGTTGGTCAGTGGACACGGGGACGGGACAACTGGATATCACACCTATCCCAAGTGTTGCAAGGTGAAGCATGCAGCACTGCTTAGGACTGACACATTGTTTTTGTGCTGTCCCACCCACTAGCCATCATCACGTGAAGCTCCTGAAATAGGCCACCGCAACAAGGAATAATAAAATAATACTGTATTGGTTTGAATTTGAACTTAAATTACCAAATGTGGCTAGCGGCACAGGTGTGGAGGAAGGGATATATCTCTAGGCCTGAGTACTAGAGAACCCGAACCTCCTGAAGAGAAGCGCGAGCCAGTAAAGGCGACGGAAAAAACAGGCAGAGGAAAACCATGTAAAGCGGTGCTATGGAACCAAGAATGATGACGTCACACAGTTGACAGGTCTGCGGCGTTTGCTACTGCTGCTCTTAGTGATGGGCATTTTTAGCTGACCTGGTGAGGCCTCCCTGGAAAAATGACTTCTTGAATTAGTCCCATTTCAATGTACAGAAACATAGCCTTCCCTGAAGTGTCCACTAATGTTCACACAATGACATGATGAAACCATGAAATTCACCGTGGAGGAATGCTTCACTGGGGTGAAGACTTTCCTTGAATTTTGACTGGGTTATCACTAAACCTAGCTTTTATTTCAGGATCTAGTCCAGGACCTCAATGAATCTGGTGGTCCTATCTTAACTCGACTGTAACTCGGCCCCTTGGTCCTCACTTACTCCTCCAGTCACTTTTCAGTGACTTATGGTTATTTAATTTGGTGGGTTGCATAGCAACACTGTCATGATGAATTTTGTTACTCAAACTGTCCTAGCCTGGGCTACTTGAAGCTCTTCCAAAATCTGTCCTGTGTCCTTCTGATATCTGTCTCTTGAACATCTTTACTCTCTGGCCCTGGTTCCTTTTGTTGGAAAAAATACACCCAGAAACCAAGATACTGGTGTGTCTATGTTTGTAAGTTCTCTAATGGTCAGAACTGATATACAAGTCTGTATGTTAACCCATGTCTGTCTGTCTGTCCAGCCAACCACCTGAATGCCTGAGTTCTTCTTCCACATGCTTCTACCACCAGTCCAGGACAATTTATTCTAGAATTCCTCCTTTGATTACTTGAAACTTCTCCAATAGTGAGAAACCTTGTTATCATTATCTATAATATTTACATAAATTTGTTCAACCTTAGTATATACATACAAAGTAACTTCAGAATTCTCCTGGTGATAAAAATACCAACCTGGATACCGTGTTTATGCATATTAGTATTCTGTGTTTGGTGTCCAATTAAAATATATTCTTCTTCTTCTCTAAAGCTACTTAATCTACCGCCTTGAGTATGTTTATGCCATCCATGCTTAGCAGATTTATCCGCACACAGCCTTGGGCTCTTTCTATATTCTAGAGTGGGATTACTGTTTATGGATCTTGGCAGTGCAGATTCTCAGCTACCTCTCTGTAGTCAACTCCTATCCCCTTTTCAATCTCAGTGTGTACCCTATCACTGGTGGCTGCTTTTGTTTCCTATGGTGTCAGTGTATTAAGTTTTTGGTTTTCTGGAGGACAGGAGATTGAACCCAAAGCTTTGCACACCCTAGGCAAGGCTCTACCAACACCAACTCCATGGTTTCAGTTACCCATAGTCACTTGTGAACTTGAAAAAAAGAAAAAAGAAAAAAAAATCAAGTGGAAAGATGCAGATGTTAACTATTCCCGTTTTAAACTGTGCACTATTCTAAATAGTGTGGTGGACTCTCACTGCTCTGCCCCATCTCACATGGGATATAAGTCATGTCTTTGTCCAGTGTAGCCACACAGTCTGTTACCAAGCCAACACCATCTGAGCTGATTCAGCAGCACTAGAAACAATAGCAGCTCTTTAAGGTCCATAGTAGATTAACTATGTCACAGTGTCTGTTCACTCACCATCTTTCACTTAACTGACATGGTGTTCAGGGTTCACCTCCAATTATTACATCATTTCAAAGACAAAGGCGGACAGCAGTGCATTCCCCCAAACTCCCCCACCATCTTACAATACCGTTGCCATGCTTTACTTGTATGTCATAAATGCACAACACTATTTTAGTTAGTTTTCAAATCAATTACAAATAAAACTTATTTTCTTTTATTCCTTGTGCAGTATTTTTTACTCCTTAGTGTAGATAGGTTTTATCATATTTCTTCTGTAAGAAATTCCTGGGGCTGGAGAGATGACTAAGTGGTTAGGAGTGAGTACTGCTCTTCCAGAGGACTGAGTTAAATTCCCAGCACCCATGTTGGGTGGCTACAACTACTACCTGTCACTCCAGCTCCAGGGGATCCAATACCTCTAGCCTCCACGGTCTGGTATATACACACACACACTATAAATCTTTAAAAAATAAGAAATTCCACCGGGCGGCGGTGGCACATCTTTAATCCCAACACTCGGGAGGCAGAGCCAGGTGGATCTCTGTGAGTTTGAGGCCAGCCTGGTCTACAGAGTGAGATCCAGGACAGATACCAAAACTACATAGAGAAACCCCGTCTCAGCCTCCCAGCCCCCCAAAAAAGAAAGAAAGAAATTCCTTGACATTTCTGGTAGAAAAGTGTGCTGTCCAATTCTCAGTTGTTTGAGAAACCTGCTTCTATAGGATTTTCTACCAGGTACAGAACTCTGTGTTGACAGTTTTTTTCTTAGAAGGGGCAGTTTACTGTCTTCCTATATAAATGATTTCTGAAGAAATGAACTGTTATGGTCATCTGTTTACTGCTGCCTTCACAATGTACTCTTTGGTTTTATTTTCAGCAGTTTGAACAGGTTATGTTCAAGTAGGTTCTTAAAAATAATTTTTATTTTTTTAAAAATACCGATGTTCCTTGAATCTGCAGAATCTTGATTATTGTATCTTCAAATATTTCTTCTAGGATCCCACTCAATCCCATATTACGTAGTTTGATGTTACCCCTGGACTCAACATGCTCTACTGTTTCCATGGCAGTCTGAGGAATCTAAGTGATATCCAAAACAATCTACGCGGGAGCTTAGTGATTCTTCTGTGTGCTGATGACAACCATTTTTCATGTCTGATTTGCTGAAACCGTTTGCTCCCCAGAGTATGTAAACATCAATGTTCGTCTCTTTGACTTGGGTTATATGAACATTTTTACATCACAGAGACAAATCAGTGGGAACCAGGAAGCAGGATACACACAGTACCTCCGGCATTTCTAAGTCTCGTCTGACCCTTTCCTTCAGCTCCTTCTCAGAGCTGGCTTCGCTCACGGCCCACTTTGCTCATCAGCCTTGCAATGCACCGTTCATGGTTATCTTACCTTGTCAGGCATCTCCACTGCTATGTGTTTGAGTCTTCCTTCCGTGACCACTTTGTCTCTTGGGAGCTGAGTTTCCCCTTCTTGCTTTTCCATAAACTTCATTTCTTTTTTGATAAGGACAGCAGAGACTGAGCAGCCATATCCCTGGAAAGGTCTGTGCTTGGATTAATGGAACCTTAGGCCAGGCTTGCAGTGTTATTACTATGGTTTTATGAATGATTCCGCTTCCAAATTCCTCTCCCAGATTTGTGCTTCAAGTGGTGGCTGCTGAGAGTGTGAGCATCTGCTCCACTTCCAGCTCGTTATCCCTCTGCACTGACAATCTGTCTCTTGCATGTTGCTGGATTCAGTAAGCCAGTGCAGTCAGCCAGCCAGTAAGCAGCAGTCCAGTGTGCCTTGTTTCATTTGTTCTACAAGCCCAAGTCTTTTCTTGGATTCTAGAATTACTAGCTGCTGCTTCAGTACTCAACGGGGTAAAGAAAGGTCATAGATGTGCTGCCTTTTTCACTCTAGGTGTGGATCGATGCTTTCATTGCTCCTGAGCAGAAAATGGAAGCACTCGCATATCCTTTATGACTGGGGTTAGTGAGCTCACAAAACAGCTGAGGGTTGGTGTGGTGGCAGCATTTAGTCCTAGCATGCTGAAGCCTGTTACAGAACACCATTTTACCTCAGGAATTTGAGATAACTGGAGTGACAAAGCAAGGCTTCATCTCAAAACCACAGGGGCGCTAGCAGAGGGACCAGCTAAGGCTCTTTTTGTTGTTTTCTTCTTCCGTCATGCAGGGGGAGTTTTTCCTTTTCCTTTGAAGGATGGGAGGATTCAAGCTTGTTCTTCAAAGCAGTCAGGGCTCTCAATGAATACTATACCTTCCATATCTTGGCCCTAGACATCCTACCCGTCCACATTGTGAGAAATAAATGCCTTCTTGTTTGAAAACTACAATCTCAGGAAAAAAAACAAAAAACAAAAAAACCCTGTGGGGAAAACAGGGTCTAATTTTGCAGCCCTGGCTGGCCTGGGACTCAGCGATCTACCTGCCTCTGCCTCTTGGTTGCAGGGGTCTATATACTATTACACCTGGAGATCTCAGAAACTTTGATATAACATTACACAGTGCCCAAGGCTACAGTAACGTGCGATCAGCTGTTTGAATTGGTTTGTGGTGTGGGAGTGTTACTTATGTGTGCATGTGAGTAGAGATCAAAGGTCAATTTTGGGTTTCATCTGTATCTCCACTTTATTTTTTGAGATCGGGTCTCTCACTGAACCTGGAGCTGAGCTGGGTAGATTGGCTGACTAGTGGGTCCCTGGGATCTGCTTGCCTCCACACCTTAGCACTGGATTTACCACCATGCAGTCATGCCTAGCCTTTACATGAGTCCTGAGGATCCGAATTTGAGTGCTCATACTTATGCAGCAAGGACTTTACCCATTGACCCACCTCCTCCCTAGTCTGCTGCCTTAAAGTCATGACAGATCCTGAACAACCCAGCTGTTGTTATTACTGGTCTTAGAAAGTAAATGTCACCCATGTTATGTATGCTTGCATTTGACAATGATAAATACTATTATAAAATTTACATGATAAAAATTTATGATTTCTAAAGTTGTATTAAACTTTGAGGAGAAAAATGAAAGAAAATATAGTTAAGTTAAAAACAATCAGTGTGTAAATGACAATAGGCAAGTAGTAAGTCAATGTACACAGGCCAGCAGTGTGGCTCCATGAAGGAGTGCATGCCTAACAAGACCCTAGGTTCCTTCCCCAGCAATCCAATCCAATCTCCAAATACAGATTTTTTTTTGCCTGTGATGTAACTAGGCAGCTTTCCAGAATAATACCACTGAATATAATCAACTGACCCAATACTTTTAGAGTGAGCCTTATCTCACATTCAAGAAAAGCTCAAAAGGCCAATGCTGTCCACTCAGTTTAGATTATTTTTCATTTATTTGAAATGACAGAAAGGATTATCTCAATATTCTTTATTATTTGAAATGTATTAAAAATTATTTTCTTTTGGGTTTGGATAGCTCAGAAAGGAAAGAAACTAAGAATCTGATGGTGTGGTGGTTTGAAAGAAAATGGCCCCCAAAGGGAGTGGCACTATTAGGAGGTGTGGCCTTGTTGGAGGAAGTGTGTCACTGTGGGGGAGGGCTTTGAGGTCTCTTTTGCTCAAGCTTCCCTCAGTGTGACTTTCAGTCGACTTCCTGTTACCTGCAAGATGTAGAACTCTCAGCTACTACTCCAGCACCATGCCAGCCTTCACAGCACCGTGCTCCCCACCATGATGATAATGGACTAAACCTCTGAAACTGTAAGCGAGTCACCCCAATTAAATGTTCTCTTTGTAAGAGTTGTCATGGTCATGGTGCCTCTTCACAGTAACAGGAAACCTAATTCACACAGATGGTATCAAAAAGCTAATTCTTTATTAAAGCACACTGAGCTACATCTGAAAACCATTTAGCTTCCAAGTGGTACTGTGCAGCCAGTATATTACTACTGTCAATGACTTACCACCACCCTGCAGCTCCATGCATGTGTCCATCACTGGTTTGACTGATCTGGCCATTGACTCAATGTAGAGCTGTTGACCCACATTCTTAATTTTGTTTACACTGGCATAGACCTGCTGCAAGGTCATCTTAGGGAGAAGAATGATAAAATAGGTTTAAAAATGTAGAAGTGTGCACTAAAAGACACACAAACAATACACGCTTCACTTCTGGATCTCTGAGACATGACTAAAAGCAGTCCTCACTTCAATTCCACTTCTTGCTGAGCCACTGATGCCAATCAAACTGTACAT